CCTGGAGTGTCAGAGGGGTGGGGGTGCCCCCTGCAAGGGGACAGCGGGACAGCTGCATTGGCTGTGGGGGTAACAAATCCCAGCTGCCCCTGCGGAGAGGGGGGGCAGGCTGGTGCAGGGTTAGCATTAGCTAAGCTGGGGAGCATCAGATGCCACATAGGAGATCTCGACTGTGTACTACAGTGGGGGCAGGAACCAGGGGGCAAGAGGATGCCATGGGGGTGTGGGCCTGTGGGGAAGCAGAAGGGTATGGGGGTGGGCAAAAGGGGTGCTGTGGGATGGGAAGCAGAAGGATATGGGGGAGCGGAAGGGGAGGATGAGGGTGAGGCGGAGGGGGATGGGGCAGGAGGCCCAGGGATATGGGAGGGGCAGAGGGATATGGGGGGAGCAGGAGTGAGGTACGGGCAAAGGAATATGTGGGGAGCAGAAGGGGATGGGGCGGGGAGGCAGAGGGATATGGGGATCAGAGAGACATGGCAGGGGCCTGGGAAGGGGGGCAGGAATCAGTCAGGGGCCAGTGGGTTTAAAATTAGCTCTCCCCAGCAGCCCCAGGTAGCTGCATTTCTGGGTGGGACCCCAATGCCTCCTCATAGACAGGGGGCAGCTGAAGCCAGTACCCCCTGTGGGGGCTGCATCCCCCATTTCTCCTGCTGTGTATTTTTAGCTCCGGTGGTTGGATGACGCTGAACATGGCTGCGCGCTGGCAGCCAAGCCCCCTCCCCTTTGCTTTTTTGCTTTCCTGGAAGGGGGGCATCTCCCCCACCCCCAGTTCTGCAGTCCTCCAGCCCCAAATGTGGGGCCCATTGGAGCCCAGCCCCCTGGTCAGCATCATTCAGGGGAAAGGGGACTATTTTTAATTTTTAGAGGAGATGGGAAGGTCACAAGGAGATGGAGAATGGAGTTAGGGTAAGGGGCTAGCAGAGGCCTGAGAGCAGAGGAGTGGAAGGATGGAGGATGGGGCAGTTTTGAGATGTGGGGTGTAGGATATGGGGCTGGCAGGGGCCTTGGGACTTATGGGGGGTGGATGGAGGATAAGGCAGCAGAATGGGGAGAAGATGGGTTGGGCAGATTGGAGGGGGATGGCGGCAGGCCAAGAAAAGATGGGATCCACCCCACAGACCCCACTGCTTTCCCCAAGCTGGAAGACAACTCAGGAGTCCTGGCTCCCAAGCCCCCTGTTCTTACACATTCATGCCATTCCCCCTGTGCAAGAGAGAGAACTGCCACTGGAGTGGGGGCCCACTGGTGCCCCACAGCCCCCATCTCAGGACTGGGCAACCACCCTGCCCCTTCCCCCCACATCAGCATTGAGGGGCACCAGAAGTGTGCGGGATGGGGCATTGTCAGTGGACAGGATTGTGGGGCACTGGTCATACAGAAGGGGGCTCAGGATTGTGGGGGCTGGCATTTCCAGGGAGCACCTATGCGGATGGATTGAGGGGGGTTGGTATTGCTGGGGGTGACACTGGGGTGGGATTGAAGGGCACCAGCATTACTGGAGTATCCACAGGGCTGGATTGAAGGGCACCAGGTTGCTATGGGGTGGAACCAAAGGGCAGTGCCTGCTGTGCCAGTTCAGGGTTAGGGTTGTTTCTTCTCCACAGGATTTGCCCTGACCTTTGCCCTCTACCCCTTCCCCCAGGTCAGCCCCTGCCGCTGGTCCCCCAGCTGCCGCTGGAGGAGAAGGGGGTGGCCCCCCCGCGCCCCCTCCCAACCTCACTAGCAACCGGAGGCTGCAGCAGACTCAGGCCCAGGTGGATGAGGTGAGTAGGCAGGGGTAGGGGGTGCCGGCACTTCCGGGACGCCTGGGTCCTGTCTGTGGCCAGCGCTCTGACTCCCCCTCCTCTGCCTGGCAGGTAGTTGACATCATGCGGGTGAACGTTGACAAGGTGCTGGAGCGGGACCAGAAGCTGTCGGAACTGGATGACCGAGCCGATGCCCTGCAGGCTGGCGCCTCCCAGTTTGAGACCAGCGCCGCCAAGCTCAAGCGCAAGTACTGGTGGAAGAACCTCAAGGTGTGGCTCTGCGGCCCCCCTAATTGTCTGCTTCCCTGTGGTCCCCCAGTCTGCCCCTCTGCCTGTTCCCCATCTCTGCTCAGCCCCACCCCTACCTGCCTCTTTTCCCCCATCTGTCAATAGTATCCTCATCACCACCTCCTCCTGGCTCCACTGCCATGGACCCGTCTGCCCCCCTCCTTGTGCTGCCCATTTATTCTCCCATCTGCCCATAGCCCCACTCTGCAGCATAACCCTCTGCCCATAGATTTGCTTCCCCATGAGCTGAAGTCTGCCGATAGGCATGCTCCACCTACTCCACCTGTCCCCCGCACACACACATTCCCCCCTGCCATGGCTGTCCCCCTTCCCCTGCAGCCCCCATCTCCACATGGCTCTCCCCCAACTACCTCCAACCCCTCTGATTTCTGCACCCTCTTGTCTGCCACCATCTGCCAGTAGCCCCTTATCTTCCCCCCGTGAACACCTAAAACTGCCCATCTGCCTATAAGTGCCTCCTCTGCAGACCCCATTTGTCCCTCTGCAGACCCCCCCTCCCCCAGCCCTCCTATGGCTCCCCATCTGTCTCCCATAGCCCTCTGCAACGCACTGATTTACCCCATCTCTGGTTCCTACAGCTTCCCATTGCCTCGTGCAGCTCCCTTCACCCTATTGACATCTCCTATGGCCTCTCACTCCTCCCTCAGCTTCCCTGTGGCCCTGGTATCCCCACTGAACCCTTCCATGGCCCCCAAAAACCCTGCAGCCATCTGTTGTTCCCCTCTCCAGGACCTCCTATGACCCACCAATCTTCCCACAGGTTTCCTCTCAGCCCACCCAACCCCCTCATTCATCTGCCCCATGGCTCCCCTAACCTTCCCCCCCCTCCCCCCCGATGGAACCCTGACAGGCCCCAAGCTCCTTTCTCCACCTCCTTCCTGCCCCCCCTGATGCTCACGGATTCTTTCCCCACAGATGATGATTATCCTGGGGGTGATATGCGCCATCATCCTGATCATTATTATTGGTGAGTGGGGACTGGGGGGGAGGCATTGGGGCAGCATGCAACCTCTTTTCCCATGGACACTCCCACCCACTCATGGGCTCTGAGAGAGGCGTGTGGCATCTGTCATGCTGGTGTGGCAGTGAGGAGGTGAGGCTGCTTTTGGCCCTGCCCACAGCCACTGCTAATTAGTGCAGGGATGGATTATGGGAAGGGCATGGCTCTCCTTGGCCCTGCCCACACATAGAAGGGGCGTGGATATCTTGGTTTTGCCCCCACACAAGCCCTGCCTACATCCACTCCTAAATAGTGCTGGTGGGATTATTATTATTATTATTAGTCCTCGGCAATGCCTGCTATCACACCTGCAATACTGGGGTGAAATATCTGTGTGGGAAAGGGTGTGGCTTCCCTTAGCCCCACCCACCCCAACATCCCGCCCATCTGTCTTCAGTTAATAGTGCAGAAATAAAAGAGATAGAGCTTTCCTTCAGCCCACCTACCTATCGGCCACACCCATCTCTGCATGTGCACAGTCCAGGCCAAGAGTAGATAAACAAGGTATTTTAGGGGCTGGGGTTTTCCTTTGCTCTGCCCACAGCCATCCCTAATGCAGTGAAATGAGCGAATAGTTATTGGGAAGGGACGAGGCTTTCTATGGCCTTACCCATGTGGTGGCAGTTTTAGTAGGAAGGAGCTAGGCCTGAAATCTCCTTACCTCACTCCCTGGATTTCCCTCGCTCTAGCTGTTGGAATGTGGCCCCTGGCCTCTTCTGTATTTTTGGGCTGAAGGTGGAGGCACTCATCTGAAGCAACAGAAAAGTCCCATCCTCAAATACCACATGCCTTCTCTCCCAGCCATATCATTTGTAAAGATAGCGACATAATCACTATACTTAGGTTCCAGAGGACCCCTTCCCACTCCCCCACAATTGGGATAAATAGGGAGGATTCCCCTTTTCTGTGAATAAAGCCCCATGCCCTGTCCTAAACTGCAGTGCCACAAGTAGGGCTCTGAGGCTGCCCTGACTCCCTAGAGATGGCTACACCTCAGCACCAGGCAAGGGGTCCCTGTGCAACCAGCCGCCCCGCCCCAGAGGTGGCTGCATCTTGGCGCTGGTTGGGACTTGAACTAACCCCTCTTTGCTCCTGTCTCTCTTTACTTTCCAGTTTACTTCAGCACTTAATGGACCCTCCGAAGCCAAAGCCCCCCCCTTTTTCCCCCAGGAGCTGCGGCCGGGAGAGGCGCAAGGGGCTGCAAGCCCCCCCCATAATCTCTCCAGCCGCCCCGCCCCAGAGGTGGCTGCATCTTGGCGCTGGTTGGGACTTGAACTAACCCCTCTTTGCTCCTGTCTCTCTTTACTTTCCAGTTTACTTCAGCACTTAATGGACCCTCCGAAGCCAAAGCCCCCCCCTTTTTCCCCCAGGAGCTGCGGCCGGGAGAGGCGCAAGGGGCTGCAAGCCCCCCCCATAATCTCTCCCATATCTTCCAGTCCCCCCCCCCCCCCCCCCCCCCCCCCCCCCCCCCGTGGCATGTGTGCGTGTGGTGCGGTGCGTGTGGCCGTCCTGTATATAGGCTGACTTATTTATACATATATATATATTCTATATTTTGTCTGTTTGTAGATTTATTACTAGGTTTCCAGCTGTCATTGATTCCCCCCCCCCCATGCCTCCTTCTCTCTCTGATGGTGTTGTCAGTGTCTAGTGTTTTAATTTAATATTTAAGGACCAATTTAAGGACCCTTCTTCCCCTGCCCTGCAAAAATAGAGGGGTCCCAAACGTCTGAGAACCTGAGCCCTGCCCTTTCGGACAGACACTGGGCAGAAGCAGTGTTTCAATGCCGGTATATAACCAGCCACCTCCCTCCCCAGAGGTGGCTGCAATTTAGCACGAGGTGGGAATGTGCCTGTGTAAACCACCCCCTTGCCCCAGTAGTGTCTGCATTTGACCGCTGGGCCAAAGATGCTGTATAAATAGCTGCCCCACCCCAGAGACGGCTGCATCTCAACACCATTCAAGGGGGTGTGTGTGTCATAAATTTCCTTCCTCTTTCTGTCTCTCCCACCCCTTCCCACTCCCCCTCCTTCTTCCCCTCCTGACCCTATGAGCTTCTGTACCATGCCTGGAGCTGTACTGTGCAATTATCTTTTCTTTTGGGGGGGGGGAATCCCTTTGGAGAGGGTTGCATGGGGGAGGATCCTCTAAATTCACCCCTCCCCCGTGGCCAAGCGACTTCCACCTCTCCCCTCAACTGTGGCCAAGGCGGGCTCCCATTAACTGTTTGCTGACTGTCTGGCCCAGGAGTGCCCCTGCCACTAGCAGGGTCTGAGCCCTGTGGCTGTAGGGGGTGGACAATGATCCTGTAGCAGGGGGCTGGGTGAGTCTTGTATGGGGGGGAAGAAGCAGGCGCAGCCCAGAGCCAGCATCCTCTTCCCCCCACCCCCATCCCCAACATGGTGTGTGCATGGAGGGGGAATTGCCCTGCCCTGCTCGGTAATGTGATTCCCCTAATGGCTAGCACCGATTTCCAGTGATGAAAATCACTGACCAACCCTTCCCCAGCTCTGCTCCACCAGGAAGCAGTGGATCAGACTCTGCGGGTGGCGGGAGGGTATGGATTGGGGGGTTTTGGCCAACTGGATCCCCCATCCCGCACTGGAGCCCTGCCTGGCTTTGTATCCTTGCCGTGTGATGAGTGACCCCCCCCATTCCCTGCCCCCTAAGTCCAACATCTCTAGCAGTCGCCTTCCTTACCAGCCCCGTAGCATGAACCTCTCCCAGCTCCGAGACAGCCCCTATAGGGCCCCCCCATAGCCTGATTCCCCCTCCCCATAAGTAGAGCTGGTGTGTGACTCCCCAGACAAGGACTTGGCTAAAACCCCCGCTCGCTGGGCAGGGAGGCGGTAGGGGCCCCTCTGCCAACTCGGAGGGACTTTGGCACGGGGTCCCCTATGATGCCCATGGGGGTGGCAGCCCAGCTGGTTCTCTGCTTCCCATCTGGAGGGAATGGGAGTAAAGGACCTGGCTGTCTCTGCCTCCCCTCCCCTGCATCCCTGTTTGAGGCTGGTTTGGCAGCAGGGGCTGCCTGGCTTGTGGTCCAGGCCAGGGGGCAGGTGTCACTGCTGCCCCCCAGCTTTGTGGGGCATAGAACTCACTGTGCCCCACAGTGGGACAAGAGCCCCCCAACCTACCGACAGCTGGGATAGCAGTGGATGATGGCGCAGGGGGACAGGACTGGCTGGATTCCCCTAGAGCCCAGCTGGGGAGGGGTTGAGGGGGGTCAGTCTCCTCCCTCCCCTATGTGTGCAGCAGGCGGGGACGGGGCACCGCGCGGAGGGATTGGGGAGTGACTTTATGCTGTGAAAAATGTACAATAAATAAATGTCCTGTGGAGAACGCCCAAGCCGCTGTCCGTCTGTCTGTGTTGCCATCTGTCTGTCCATGGGAGGGAGCCCTGTAACCAGCTGCCCCACCCCAACGGTGGCTGCATCTCAGCCCCAAGCAAGGGGTCCCTGTGTAACTAGCCCAGAGGTGGCTGCATCCCTTCTGACCCAATAACCATTTTGCAGTGAAGGCATTAATATCTGACAGTGTCTCTTCCCCAAGACTGGCCAGGTTAAAAACAAGCATACCAGTCACTGCTGGGTGAGTGCCAGGGCCTGCCAGCGAGGGCAGCTTTCTGCACTGAGAGATGGAGGGGCTGGGCCACAGTCCCATCCCCACCTGTCTGCAGCAGGGGCCAAGGGAGCTTTGGTCCCAGCACTGAGTTTGGAACTGGAAACCAGGGGGATGCTGGTGAGCACCTACAGCCCAGGGCTCTGGGAGGCTAAACACAGGACTCCGGGTTCTCTCCTGACTCTGGGAGCGAAGTGAGGGCTGGTGGGTTAGAGCAAGGGGGCGGGGTTGGGAGCCAGGACTCCTGGGTTCTCTCCTCGGCCCTGGGAGGGGTATGGTGGGGGCTAGTGGGCAGAGCAAGAGGAAGTCGTTATTTTGGTAAGTTTCCCAGCACGGCCAAACCCTGGCCCTAGCCACAAGGCCAAACCTGGTACCAACAAGACCTTGGGGTTAAATTTTTGACAAATCACAGTTAAGACCAGAATGGGTCCTTTTGACAAGCCTCTGGTCAGGTATTGGGACATGGTACCTGGAGTTGCAGCACCATCCATTTCATTCACACACCCCTGCAACGCGTCCCATGTCCAAATCATTTTCCCCTCAGCTAGCACAACTGGCAACTTTACCCCAGGCTGGGCAAGGATGTGAATGCGCCCCCCAGACCTGCCCATCTGGCCTAGGCATGCAGGGCTAAATGCTGTCTTGCTCTAGGCAGTGAAAAAAGGCTGGGGTAGATCTGCTCGGCCCTTTGTCTATAGCTGGGTGAAGACACAAGGACATGCTGGCAACAGGCACCACCAGCCAACAAAGCCTGAGCTGGTGGGCTTCACCTGGCCACGTTCTCCATGGAGTATTCACTGATTTCTGCTTCGCCCATGCTGGATGCTGCATGAACAACCAACCCTGCCCCTTTCCATTTCTACAACAGGATTGGGCACCAAAATCCCCTCATTTCCACACTGCATTTCCCTGATCTGTGCATCATCCACACTGAATTCCACATCAGCCAGCCCTGGTTTCTCTCGCACTTTCAACAATTCCCTCTGCTTCCTGTCGGCACGCTGAATTTTGCCTCGAATCCCTGATTGCAATACCCCATACCCTGAATTCTGCATCACATGCCAGATTTCTATTTCTTACTGAATTCTGCATCCAAGTTCTCCTGATTTCCACATCACATGCACTGAATTCTGTATTGCACACTGGATTTGTGTTTCACTCAGTTCTGTACCCATATTTCCGATTTCAACATCACATGCACTGAATTCTGCATCACATACCTGATTTGTTTAAAACATGCTACATTCTGTACCAATACCTCCTGATTTCTAAGTCACACACACTGAATTTAGCACCCAAATTTCCCATATTTATACATCACCCACACCGAATTGTGCACACCCCCGATTTCTGTTTTAAACATGTTGAATGCTGCACCAGTTTCTCATGGCTTCTAAATCATACACACTGTGCCCAAATCTCCCGTATTTTCATTTCACACGTTGAATTCTATACCAAATCCCCTGACTTTGGGCTCACATTCTGAATTCTGCACCCAGTTCCTGATAGCTACATTAGGTGTGCTGATTTCTGTACCCTGATCACTGTCATACGCATACAGTTGTCCCCCAAATCTCCCTGATTTCTGCATCATGTTGGCTACGTCTAGACTGACATGATTTTCCGCAAATGCTTTTAACTGAAAAGTTTTCCGTTAAAAGCATTTGCGGAAAAGAGCATCTAGATTGGCACGGATGCTTTTCCGCAAAAGCACTTTTTGTGGAAAAGCGTCCGTGCCAATCTAGACGCACTTTTGCGCAAAAAAGCTCCGATCGCCATTTTAGCCATTCGGGGCTTTTTTGCACAAAACAAGCTGTCTACAAATGATTTGCACAAGAGGGCTTTTGCCCAAACGGGAGCAGCATAGTATTTCCGCAAGAAGCACTGATTTTTTACAGTAGGAAGTCAGTGTTCTTGCGGAAATTCAAGGGGCCAGTGTAGACAGCTGGCAAGTTTTTCCGCAAAAGCAGCTGATTTTGCGGAAAAACTTGCCAGTCTAGACACAGCCGTTCAGTTCTGCTGATTACATACTGTTGTAGCGCTGAAGGCCGGAAGGAGCTTGCCCAACTTCCTGCATCTCATAAGCCATCAACACCTGCACCTCAAACCCAACAACTGAAATCAGATGAAGTGTCACAACACACAGGCAATAAACTATTTTGTGCCACTGGGGCTGTGTCTATGTTGGCATGATCTTGCGCAAATACTCTTTAACGCAAGAGTTCTTGAGTTAAAGTATTTGCGCAAGAGAGCGTCTACACTGGCACATGCCTTTGTGCAAGAGCTGTGCTTTTGCGCAAGAGCATCCGTGCCAGTGTAGACGCTCTCTTGCGCAAGAAAGCTCCGATGGCCATTTTAGCCATCGGGCTTTCTTGCTCAAGAAATTCATGTTGCCTGTCTACACTGGCCTCTTGTTCAAGAACAGTTGCGCAAGAAGGCTTATTCCTGAGCAGGAGCATCATAGTTCTTGCGCAAGAAGCACTGATTTTACACATTAGAACGTCAGTTGTTTTGCACAAGAACTCCCCACCAGTGTAGACAGGCAGCATGTTTTTGCGCAAAAGCAGCCGCTTTGGCGCAAGATCGCGCCAATGTAGACACAG